AATTCTGGCCCCCCACGAGGCCCCCGCTCGAGACATCCCCCAATTTTGCAAAACCAGTGTTTCGCTCGCGACATCCTCAACAAATTATGAAAATGTTGCAAAACCAGCGTTTCGCTTGAAACATCCTCAACCAATTATGGAACAACAAACATTTCGCTCGAGAGATCCTGCCAAAATTCAAAGGAATCATAAAACAACAAACGAATTAGTCGAGACATCCTCGAAATTTCTGCGCGCGGGACGCGGCACGCGCGAGACATCCTCGGAATTCCTGCGCGCGGGGCGCTTTTCCGCGTCGCGGTCGGCTCTGCAGAACCAGCGTTTCGCTCGAGAAATCCTCAACAAATTATGAAAACAAGCGTTTCGCTGGAGACATCCCCAACTCTGCAAAACCAGCGTTTCGCTCCAGACATCCTCAACAAATTCTGAAAAACAAGCGTTTCGCTCGAGACATCCTCCTAATTAATTCCGCCGGCCCACCTCGACCTCGATATTCATCGGGGAATAATTCCGCCGGCCCACCCCAAGTCAGGTCCGGGGGTAAACATCTAAAAGAGAACCCTGGGCCTAAGCCCTTTCCGGGAAAAAAAATGACGACCAGAGCCCTAGACCCTGCCTTTTATGCGTCAATTTTAGAACTGGATCGATCTGTGAGGGTCCCACGGCCCGAAACCTGACGAAAACGCCCGGCTCATAATACTTAGGACGCCAGGATCTCAGGAAAGGCTCCTGGCCCTTCGCGCGCCGTTTTGGAGCCCCTCGGGGCCCTCGGGGTCTCCCGAGCGGCGCTGGGGGCATGCTGGGAGGGTCACCCCCAGGCCAGGGCCACCCGTGACAACGCCCAAATGTGGAGCACATTGGGGCTGTCCTTTGAGCAGGGACCGACCGTCCCGGCATTCCTGTAAGCCTACCACGCCATGTTACTAGCCGGCCGCTCTGCGGTTGATCGGGAGTTTCTGTATATAGAAGAATGGGCGTGCGCTTCTTGGCGAAAGGAGAATGATCGAGATGAGAATGAGCGTGAGGATCAGGAGGGCGAGGCTTGCGAGGGGGAGGATCAGGAGAGTGAGGGTCACGCGGGTGAGGATCAGGCGAGCGTGGAGCAGGAGGGTGAGGATGTGGAGCAGGAGCGCAGCAGGAGGGCCAGAAATGGTCCCTGGGGGGGGGGCGCTGGAAGGCGACTTTCTCGAGCGTCGGGGGTCAGGATGACGAAACAATGTTCGAATCGCAAGAACAACGTTCCTAGAACATCAGCTGGTCTTAGAGAACAAGACGGTCTCAATCAGATATGTTCCAAGAACAGTGGAATCTTTGGTGGGCTTGTAGGCAAGCCAAGACGCTTCGCCACTGCTAGAATCCTGGAACCGATGCAAGTTGTGAAGCATCCTCGTTATCTGCCACCGGCTGCGCAGCACCTCCATGCCGAGCCCGACGCTAGTGGGCGCAGCACTCAGGAGCTCGAAGAAGCTGCTGCGGAATTCGCTCTGTCCGAAGATCTCTAGCCACGCGGAGTAGTCGCAATTGAGGCAAGATGGCGGGTCGCGCTCGTGGAGCCAGCGCTCGAGACGACCATTCGTGCGGGTCGTGTGATAGCGATAGCTCGAGACCACGATGTCGCTCGGTCGCCGCACAAGGTGCACAGCTCTCGCTCTCCAACTTTTGCTGGGGAGCTCCATCGTAAGCCAGAAATACGGGTTCGAGCACAGCAAAACTGTCCTGGCGTGGAAATCCGTCGGCCAGTCGGCTGGCGTAGTGCCTCTGGGGGCATAGCGCTGCACCCAGCCTTGATAATACGGTGGCAAATCAGCTCCGTGCGAGAGAGCTCCAGCTGCATTCAGGCTCAGCGGGGTGTAGGTGCGGGTCACGCGTCAGGGCTTCGAGAGGGCAGCCGAACGCACACGGAGGCGCTAGAGTTAGGTCGGGCATGTCCCCCTACAGGCGGATTGTGGACGAAGAATACAAAATAGTCCAACAATGCTCCAAAATGGTCAAACATAGTCAAACCTCGTCCCCATACTCGTTTTTTGGTGTGTGTGTGTGTGTGTGTGTGTGTGTGTGTGTGTGGCAATTTTTGAATTTTCCTCCTGTAGAGGGACAGGCACGACTTAACGCTAGAGCAACGAACTCTTCTGGCCTTAATCCCAAGTGCGTTGTTCTCTGGGTGCAGGCGTCCGTCAATAACGACCCCGCCCGAGGCTCCCCGATAAAGCCCAAACCATGCAGCTTTCTCTTTGTTGTAGTTTTTGTATTGTTTGCTTGTTCCCTTGCAGGCTCCACTGGGCTTCTCGGGCGCGGAGGAGGCCCCAAGAGGACACCACATGAACCATGAACCCCAAGAAGGCCCCAGGAACCACCCCACAAGAAGAGATCCAACCTCCGCCTCTTTTCAGAGTGTCATCCCAATTGCCTTGCGCACTCCCTCTGCTGCGCCCGCCTACCTTCTCAGAGGCCCCACATATTCGAATGCCTGACGAGTCCCAGTGTTCGGCGCAGCCAGCCTGGGCTGGTCAACCAGCCCTGGACCAGCCGGTGGCCGGTCTTATGATGGAGCAGAGTGCCAGGAGGGGCCGAGACATCCCCATGCCAATCCTGCTCCTCCTCCTCCTCCTCCTCCTCCTCCTTCTGCTTCTCCTTCTCCCCCTCGTCCTCATTAGTTTTCTCTTTCTGCTTCTCCCAAGTTCTCTTCCTCTCACCCACTTGTCCTGTTCCTGCCTCCTCCTCCTCCTCCTCCCAGCGCCATCTGCGGCGCCTGGCGCTCGGAGTCGAATCGACGCTCCAAGAAGCAGGACTGGTGCCTTGCTCTGGCCGCCAACCCGAAATCGCAGCGGAAAGAGCTCGACGTCATGAGGCAACTCCGGCGTGAGGTCAACCCGTTGACCAAGGTGCCCCTCGAACGTGGCCGCCCTTTGCCCGTCGGTGCCGTATACTCCAGCGGGTCGGAAGGAACTTCGATGACCCTGAAAACTGGTTCGTCGGGATGCTGATCTGGCTCGTCCTGGTTGTTGGCTGTGGCCTCCTTGTGCTGCCCGGCCTCGTTGCGGCCAGGCCAGCGGTCAGGCCCGCCCAGGAGTGCTGGCTGGCTGTTGCCATTAGTTCCCGTTGGGCCCAAGGTTCTGAGGGCCTCGTGACGGGACACCGCGCTGCTCGGCTGAGTTGACCAGCAGCGCCCCGCCCCGCCGCCCGCGGCGGGCGTAGCGAGTGGCCGCGCCGAATCCGGCGGCCGTCTCGGCTGGCGTCTGTCCTCCTCGTCCTCCTCGTCCTCCTCCTCCTGCTCCTTCTCCTCCTTCTCCTCTCTCCTCTCCAACCTCTCCCTCCTCTCCCTCCTCTCCCTCCTCTTCCTCCCTCTCTTCCTCCTCTTCCTCCCTCCTCCCTCCTCCTCCCCTCCTCCTCCTCCTCCTCCTCCTCCTCCTCCTCCTCCTCCTCCTCCTCCTCCTCCTCCCTCCTCCCTCCTCCTCCTCCTCCTCCTCCTCCTCCTCCTCCTCCTCCTCCTCCTCCTCCTCCTCCTCCTCCTCCTCCTCCTCCTCCTCCTCGCAGGGGCAGCAAATCAGGCATGTTGGACGTAGCATGCCATGCTATCCCGCAACGCCGACGCCGCCAGCGAGACACTTCCCGCTCCTACTACGCCTCGTTCCGACTCAGGTCGCGCTGCCTTCTAACCCGCGGGCTCTTTTCCCTCCTGCTCGCGCCCTGCTGGTCCCACGATGGCGAAAGATGGCCCGAGCAGCGAGGGGGGGGAGACCTCTAGAAGGAAAGGAGGGGTCGCGCCTTGCTGGTTCCAAGGTGGCGAAAGACGACCCCTGGCCAGAGCAGCGAGCGGGGGGAGATCTCCGGGAGGAAGAGAGAGAGAGAGAGGACGGAGTCTCGGGACGGAGGGGTGGAGGGAAGCTGGGGAAGGGAGAGGAGGCTCGCCCGAGAGCCGGCCACGTCGTTTTCTCGGCTGCACGCCAGAGTGATCCCGCCAGAATGACTCTTGTTGCGCGGCTGTTGGGGGGCGCAGAAGGGGGCCAAACCCAGCCGCCGCTGTCGCATCGCACTCGGCCATCGGGGGGCCCCAGTGGGCCCGCACGACGGGTCCCTCCGGCGGAGGGTCGCTCTGACGCGTAGCCGATCAGTCCTGCTGGGGGCTGGGGCTTCTTGGCAGCCCGGCGCAGAGACGAAGCAACGCGCTCGACGAGCTCGAAGTCGGGCCTGTCCCTCTACAGGGGGAATATCCCAAAACAGTCGAGCAAAAGTCTGGGGACGATGTTTTGAGTATTTTTGGGCATCTGGTATCTTCAGATATCTTCTATCCTTCGTCCCAAATCCCCCTGTATGGGGGACAGGTCCGATCTCAGACGAGCTGCTCCGTGCGCCGAGAGGTGGCGGGCCACGGACGGGCGTCTCCGATGGTTCGGGGCTCCGAGGTCCCTGCTCCCGATCCAAAAATAGTCTAACAATAGTCTGGGGAATATTTTTTTGAGTATTTTGGGGCACCTGGTATGTTTAGATACTTATTACTTGTCGTCCAAAGCACCCCTGTAGGGGGACAGGCCCGACCCAAGACGAGCCGCACCGTGCTCCGAGAGGTGGCGAGCCACGGACGGGCGGCTGCCGAGCCCGCCCCCCCCCCCAGCCATGACTGGGGGAGCTGTGGTCCTTACCCCCCTGGGGGAACCCATCGCATGGACGATCTCTCGAGAGGGGTGCCGAAATCGATGGGTCCCCCAGGGGGGTAAGGACCACAGCTCCCCCAGTTGTGGCTGGCCCCTCTCCCCGATCGCCCCGAGCCTCGGCGCCTCGAGATCTTGAGGGGCGCGCAGCTCCTCGCTCGGACGCCAGGCTCACATGTGGCGGGGCCGAGCTGGATGCTCGACACGGTGGTTGTGGATGCCATGACAATGGGCACTCTCACAATCCTACCATTGAGTTCAAGGTGTGTGTATTAACATGTGTAGAACATGTTCTCAACATGTTTCAACATGTTTGAGACATGTTTGGAACATCTTTTAGACATCTGGCGATTATTTGGCAGCATGCTTCCTCTCCATTAAGTCGACTTCCACAGCACTGTTGGCATCCGCCAGGAATGGGCATGGCTCGGCCCCCCCCGGAAATGAGGTGGGCCCAGTCTGCGACCAGGCAAGCGCGGCAGTTTTTCCAGGCCGCCCGTGCACCCACGAGCCCGTGAAGTTCTCCCGCCACAGCCTGTCCAGGAGGGGGCCGAGGGAGCCCAGAAGGGAGGAACGAGGGAGGGAGGAGGGCGGGAAGGGGAAAGGGGGATAAGGGGGAATGAATCGGTGAGGGAGAGCTGACCCGGTGGAGGGGGTGGGTGGGCAATAGAGGACGACGACGAGGAGGACGACGGATGACGACGATGACGACAAACAACGAACGACGACGACCACGACGGCGACGACGGCGACGACGACGACCGCGGCGACGGCGACGACGACGACCACCACCACCGACGACGACGACGACGATGACGACGACGACGACGACCGACGGAGACAGCGACGACGACGGAACGAGGACGACAAAGGACGAAGAACGATGGCGAACGACGACGATGACCAGACGACCAGACGGCCAGGGCGCCCCTCTGACCTGGCGAGGGAGGTCCGCCCGAGGCGGGAGCCGCAGCAGACGAAGTACTCCCAGCTCGGCCAGCCGCCGAAGCAGTCCTTGGGCGCCCAAACTGCCCTGGACAAGTCCGGTCCAGGGTGACTCCGGTTGAGCCCCCGAGGCACGAATCAAAAGCTTCCCCTTGACTGCTCAACAACGCCGACGATGCGGGGGTGGCTGGACGCCCGAAGTGTCCGGGACAAGTCAGTCCCGTCCAGGGCAACTCCGCCCTCGAAGCACGAATCAGCAGCCGCCCGTGACCACCCGCAGCCCCGATGGTTCGGGGCTCTATAAGACGGAGTCTCAGGAAGCAAGGGAGGCACGGGTGGAGGGAGGCGGGGGAATGGAGAGGAGGCTCGCCCGAGAGCTGGCCCCAGGGCCAGAATGACTCTTGTTGCGCAGCTGTTGGGGGGCGCAGAGGGGGCCAAACCTGAGCGCGCAGGCCGCCGCTGTCGCATCGCACTCGGCCATCGGGAGGCCCCAGTGGGCCCGCGCCACAGGTCCCTCCGGCGGTCGACTAGTCCTGCTGGGGGCTGGGGCTTCTTGGCAGCCTGGCGCAGAGACGAAGCAACGCGCTCGACGAGCCGCCCCGCGCTCCGAGAGGTGGCGAGCCACGGACGGGCGTCTCCGATGGTTCGGGGCTCCGCGGTCCCTGCTCCCGATCATGTCGAAGCGGTGGAAGCTGCAGCACCTGCGCCCCGGGCAAGACACACGATCGGCTGCGGTCGGCGGCGGGCAGGGGCTGGCGGACGCGGCGGCGCGCACCGCGGGGCAGCGCGACGGGGGCGGCCTTCCGAGAAGGCCGGGGGGCTTCTGAGAAAAGCTACGCGCAAGAGTGGCCCTGCTGCCTTCTAAACCGTCGCCGTTGTCCTCCTCCTCGTCTTCGTCCTCCTCCTCCTCCTCCTCCTCCTCCTCCTCCTCCTCCTCCTCTCCCTCCTCTCTGTTCTTCTTATTCTTCTTCCTCTTCCTCCTCCTCCTCCTCCTCCTCCTCGTCCTCGTCCTCGTCCTCGTCCTCGTCCTCGTCCTCGTCGTCCTCCTCCTCCTCCTCCTCCTCCTCCTCCTCCTCCTCCTCCTCTCCCTCCTCCCGCAAGGACGCCAAATCATTCATATTGGGCGTAGCACGCCATGCTATTCCGCAACGCCGACGCCGCCAGCGAGACGCTTCCCGCTCCTACTACGCCTCGTTCCGACTCAGGTCGCGCTGCCTTCTAAACCGCAGGCTCTTTTCCCTCCTGCTCGCGCCCTGCTGGTCCCACGATGGCGAAGGACGGAGCGACAGGGGTAGACCTCCAGAAGGAAGGGAGGGGTCGCGCCCTGCTGGTCCCAGGGTGGCGAAAGACGGCCCCTGGCCAGAGCAGCGAGCGGGGGGAGACCTCCAGGATCAGGCCGCCGCTATCGCATCGCACTCGGCCATCGGATGGCCCCAGTGGGCCCGCGCCACAGGTCCCTCTGGCGGAGGGTCACTCTGACGCGTAGTCGACTAGTCCTGCTGGGGGCTGGGGCTTCTTGGCAGCCCGGCGCAGAGACGAAGCAACGCGCTCGATGCGCTTCCGTCAGAGGTTGGCGCCAACACGAAGATCGGCGGTTGCATCCACCGGGGGAGGATGATCCCGATCTTTGCGATGGTGGCGATGTTCGAGCTTCCTAGGTGGTCGGGATATTACCACCAGCGCCGCATCTAGGAGCATTTTCCCTCGGTGGAGGCGCTGGGGGAAAATGATCTTAGATGTCGGTGTTGGCGTTGGTGCCCGCTTCCAGGCCTCCAGCAGCACCCCGTTTTCTGAGAAGACCGCCCCTTCTCCCGCCACCATTTCGCGGAATGTTCGGGAGGGACTGGCTCAGGGAAAGGGGAGGGGGGGGGGGGGAAATCGAGCTGGAATCGGCGGTACATCGCCGATAGATCGGCGCGATTTGCGCCCCCGATCTTGAGCATGGACCGACCGTCCTGGCATTCCTATAGTCATACCACGAAATGTTCTTAGAACCCAAAAATCTGCTAAGAAGAACCCGAATAAGGTTCTTAGAACATATTCCCAATGTGTTAAAAGACAAGACAGACTCCGCCAGAAATGATCTAAGAACGTTTCGTGGAAACCACAACAAGTTCTCCGAACATTGTTAGGTATGCCTGTAAGCACGCCGGGACGCTTCGCCACTGCTTGAACATCGCCGATAGATCGGCGCGATTTGCGCCCCCGATCGCGAATCCGTACGCTCCCGGGTGGGGTGCACGGGCTGTCGTGCCCCTGGCGGCAATGCCTGGGCGATCGGAGGTCGACGCGTGCCTCCCTGCACACGTGCACCCCCCGCATCTGCCACACGCTCTGGAGTTTCGGCTTCGCCACCGTGCGAGGCGGGGATTTATCCATATCCACCGCCTGGGAACCGACGTCCTGGTGTCCCAGCGGGCGGTGGATATGGATATAGTTCGGCCCCCAGTGGGCCCGATATGTCCATATCCACCGCCTGCCGAGGCTCCGAAAGCTGACCCTCCAGGCGGTGGATATGGATAAATTCTCGCCTTGGATTCCATACCTTACCCGTGCGCGCCGCTGACAAAAAATGAGGAGCCCCCCCCCGTAGAGCTGAGGGGCAACGAGAAAGGGGGGACTGGCCTAGGGGGGGGGAACGTCGACCTAGAAGCAGCGACACATCGATAGTGAATCCGTACGTTCGTGGGCAGGTTGGGACTGTTGGGCCCCCCATCAGCGATAAGTGGGTGGTTGGGGCTCGACGCATCCCCCCCTGTGCCTTTCCCACCTTATATAGCTGCCTCTGAAGAACGCCGACCCGTGCACATCCCGAAGGTGGCGGCCGGCCGGGCCGCCACTTCCCAGACGTGCCCGCGTCATGCCACAAGTCAGGGCGGGATGTTTGCGGCCGCTTTGGGCCTCCGGGGGGGCCTACCGACGGGGCGTTGACCTAAGGAACCCAACATCAGGAACGAGGCCCCTTTTCTCCAGAAGGAACTTCGACTTCCCATCGACAACCTAAAGAAAACTTCAGGCAAACTGTGAAACAATCCGGGCCCCGGGCCCTGGGGCCGTGCAAGCACGACTGAAGATGACAAACTGGTCCCAAGGACCAGGTCGGGACTTCCGGGGACCCCGCATGGGAAAAAATCAAGACCTGGCGGCGCGCACAGGGGGGAGGGGAAGGCTTCTTAGACGGAGGCTGCTTCTTCGAATGCGCCGGCCTTGCACCTACAGATCAGGCCCGCGCCTTCTGAGAAGCAGGGTGCTTCAAGGAAAGCCCTCCACCCTTCTCCCCCCCCCCTGCGCGTGGCTGGAAGGCAGCGCGGGTGTGGTGGGTTCGGCCCGCGCCCACCTCAGCCAGCCCGCGCGGGACCCGGTCGGGCACCACGGCGGCGGCGACCCGCTCTGGGCGGCCGCGCGGCTGGCGCTGCGGAGGGCGCCGAGCCGCTCGCGCGGCGGCCGAGCCGAGCCCCGGGCGCCCCGCCGCACGGCAGCGGCGGCTGCCGCGGGCGAGCGGCCGCCGGCCGGCCAGGGGGGCGGCTGCGCGAGGGCGCCCCTCGGCTGCATGGCGTCGCCGGGCGCCCTGGCCGCCCCCTCCCGGGAAGCTCGGGCCCAGGCGGCTGCTGCCTCGACTCGGCCGGGCACCCGCAGAGCCCCGCCGCGCAGCCACGGCCCGCGGCCGTGCAGGGGGGGGGCCTGGCAGGCGCGGGCCGAGAGGCCCCGCGCGGGCCGATGGGAGGGCGTGTTTGTGGTGCGCGGAGCCTGGACTCGCCCATGCCGCTCCCCTTCCCGGACACGCCCCCCTCCTCGAATCCTCCTCCTCCTCCTCCTCCTCCTCCTCCTCCTCCTCCTCCTCCTCCTCCTCCTCCTCCTCCTCCTCCGCTCCAGTGCCAATCCCTCTCTGGAGCCTGCTGGATGCGCCCGCTCGGGGCCACCTGGGGCGCTGGATCGACCAGTCTGGCCGATCCACGGCCACCCTCGTTCGTCGCGCCCTCGCGCCGCATGGCCCTCGGGACCACGCGCATTGACACACACCAGGGCGCTCAGACGCCTGAGGCAACTGCAGCCGTGGGTCAAAGCGATCTCCAACGCCTTCGCCATCCCCTGCCTAGACTAAGGGGGCCCTGGGACACGCAAATGCATAGACTCAAACCCCAGGAGCCCCCATCTTTTCCCCATATTTTCGGGGTTTTCGTCTTCCCCCCCCCCCTTCCCATATTTTCCCATACTCTCCTGGGAGTCGACGATTGCGTGTGCCTGCGTGTCTTTTTCCCCTCCTGATGGACTTTCGCGGCCCTAGACTGCATGTCCTGGCCCTTGGGGCCCTGGGGCCCCGAGAGGGGGGCAGCCCCCTGGGCCCAGCCCACGAGGCGCGACGCGCGGGCGCCCTCCTCGCCAGCTGCGCCCGTGGCTCCCGGGGCGCTGCGCGGCGTGCAGGCCCTCCAGTTGAGCGGGGACCGACCGTCCCGGTATTCCTATAGCCCTACCACGAAATGTCCTCAGAACCCAAAAATGTTCTGAGGACCAAGAACAATGTTCTTTGAACACAAGCCCGATGTGATAAAACAAAACAGGCTCCACCAGAAATGTTCTAAGAACATTTCGTGGAAACCACACAAGGTTCTTAGAACATTGTTTGGTGGGGCTATAAGCGAGCCGGGACGCTTCGTCACTGCTTGAACTCCAGGCGGGCCTCCAGATCTCGAGGGCCGCGGCGCCGGCCTCGGGCTTCCGCCGCTGTCGCCCCTGCCCCCAGCGCGGAGGCTCGCGGAGACAGGCGGGGACCGCGGCTCCCAGACACGCCCCCCAGACATGCGCGCGTCGTGAAAAAATCCCGACGGGCGTTTCTTGTCGTTGTTCTTTCAAATTTCGGCCACCAGGGGCCCTCGCCGGGCCCCGGGGCCGTCAAAAAACGACTCGGGACGACAAGCTGGTCCTGAGGACAGGGTCGGGACTTCCAGGGACGCTGTCCTGAAAAAGTCAGGACGTCGCATGTCTGGGCCCGCGTTGAGAAACAATCTCCACGACGGGAAGATTTTGGCCGCCGTCTTCGGCCTCTGGGGGAACGCGCTGGGCCTCGGAACCGTCCAAACATGGCTCGGGATGAGAGGCCGGCCTCAGGAAAGGGTCGGTCAGGAGACCCCGTTTTGCACAAGTCACACATCCACCGAACCCTGCGGAATTCTCGGGGGCGCGAGCCAACGCCCTCCTGCAACCCATCCTCCAGGCAGCACGACGGGAAGCCGCAAGCAACACATACGACATCGGAAGCCGCACGTCTCCTCCTCTGGGGGTCGGCGGAATGGCGTAAGCCTCGTGGGTCAAGACGTCGGGTGCCAGGGCCCCCCGGCCGTTGCTGGGCACAGGAGTGGTCCCCCGAGACGGCTCTCGAAGGATCTGTACGACCCTAGCGCGCCCGAAGACTGCCTGGGGCGTTCCCAGAAGTCAGCCAAGTCTCATGAAATCGATGCCCAGAAGAAACGCCGAACGTCTTACAAAACCAGCCGAACGCCCGCGCTCTCCGCAATCCGGACGTGCACCCCGCGAAGCGAGAGGAATCAAGACGTCGGGTGCCAGGGCCCCCTGGCCGGCGGCCCCCCCACCGGGCGGACCCAGAGCCCGCCCCGCGGCGCCTCGTGGGCCGCGCCGATGCTCTTCGCGACGCTCTCGTGGATGTGGTGCCCCTCGTGGATGTGGTGCCCCTCGTGCACGTGGTGCGCGTGGTGGATGCTCTCGTGGATGGCCTTCGTGACGTTCTCGTGGATGGCCTTCGTGACGTTCTCGCGGAGCGCGGACAACACGAAGCCGTCCATTGCTGCCAGTCGCCGCTGCGCTCCCCGCTGCGGGGCCACCCTGCGTCTGCCTGTTGCGGCACGGGCGCCCTTGGGCCGTGGCCGCACCGCGGAGGGCGAACGGGAGCCCCTCCCCCCCTCTGCCTGCGCAGCGGCCTTGCCTACATGGCCAAGGGGGGGAGGATGCATTCTCCTCCTTGTCCACCTCCTCCTGTCCTCCTCCTCCTCCTCCTCCTCCTCCTCCTCCTCCTCCTCCTCCTCGGCTTCGTAACCTCACTCCCGAGGAGCAGCTCCTACTCAGACGTTCGTCGTTCTGACAGCTCTCTCTCTCGCGCTGGACCTGTGACCTCCACGTCGGGCGCTACCCCCTTCGACTTCCACACTTCATCTCAGCCGCGGGCGGATCCATCGCTCTTCTCGGTCTCCTCGCATGCTTTACGTACAAGCCGCTACCGTAAATCCTTGGTGTGCCTGGCGAGCTCACCCAAGTTCAGAGTCGCCACAAGCGTTAGGTCGCAACTCCAGGGTGTGCCATCGGGGCTACCCCGGTTCGACGTCGCCACAGGCGTTAGATCGCAAATCCTGGGTGTGCCATCAGGGCTACCTTGGTTCACCGTCGCCACAGGCGTCAGAGCGCATCACCGACAGATGCGCGGTGCGGCCATGCCTCAGGGAACGGGCTGACCAGGCTCGACACGATGCGCCAGCGACGGGGAGTTACATCGTAATTCACTGTGCCCACTGAGGCCGACGCCTGAGAGCTGACATGCGTTGCCACCTCGTCGCCGCACCCTTTTTCTTGCTCTTTCCTCTGAGGCTCCAGGGCTCCAGGGACCTCCGCCTGCCGAGGCCTAGCGGCCAAGGCCCTCGAGGGGAGGACTTCGGATCAGGAACGTCCGCGGGCGACGGGCCCTCGCGAGCCCCCCGTGGGAGCCCCAGCAACAGGTGTCCGTCTCAGCCTCTATCTTGCCGCCGATCGGCCAAGGGAGAGCCCTCTCCCGACCAGCGCCGCCACTGACAGCGCCTCATGCACTCCGTCAGCGCGAACCTTCTCGTCTCCTATGCCCTCGAGCCTCTCTGGCACTAGGCCGCTGCTGTCTTTGTTGCCCTTCCTCCCCCTCGAGCCCCCCTTCACTCCTTTCGTTGCTGCATATCTCTCGGATGAGGGTGGATGAGGGTGGGAGGCGAATGGAAGGAGGGGGAAGGCCTGGTCCATCACCTCGTTTTTCCCAACCATCCTGTGGTGTTGGGTCCTCGTTTTGAAGAGACGGTCCCCGCGACCTCCTCTCCTCTCCTCTCCTCTCCTCTCCTCTCCTCTCCTCTCCTCTCCTCTCCTCTCCTCTCCTCTCCTCTCCTCTCTCCTCTCCTCTCCTCTCCTCTCCTCCTCCTCTCCTCCTCCCCCCTCTCTTCCCTGCGTTTCACCCACCCAGTACAGCGTTTCGTAGCCCCATAGGGAGCTCCGCCGAAGGCCCCAGTGCTGCCGCCCGCATGCGTCACCCACACCCAATTCGCACACCCCTCACACGTTTCGTGGCCCCATAGGGAGCTCCGCCGAAGGCCCCAGTGCTGCCGCCCGCATGCGTCACCCACACCCAATTCGGCACACCCCTCACACGTTTCGTGGCCCCATAGGGAGCTCCGCCGAAGGCCCCAGTGCTGCCGCCCGCATGCGTCACCCACACCCAATTCGGCACACCCCCTCACACGTTTCGTGGCCCCATAGGAGCCCCACCGAAGGCCCCAGTGCTGCCGCCCGCATGCGTCACCCCCACCATTTCGGCACACCACCTCACACTTTCTGGCCCCATAGGAGCTCCACCGAAGGCCCCAGTGCTGCCGCCCGCATGCGTCACCCACACCCAATTCGGCACACCCCTCACACGTTTCGTGGCCCCATAGGAGCTCCGCCGAAGGCCCCAGTGCTGCCGCCCGCATGCGTCACCCACACCCAATTCGGCACACCCCTCACACGTTTCGTGGCCCCATAGGAGCTCCGCCGAAGGCCCCAGTGCTGCCGCCCGCATGCGTCACCCACACCCAATTCGGCACACCCCTCACACGTTCGTGGCCCCTATAGCTCCGGAGAGCTCCGCCGAAGACCAGTGCTGCCGCCCGGCATGCGTCACCCACACCCAATCCGGCGTCGTTGGAAACATTGGAGCTGTGCTAAAGGCCTCTGCCGCCCGCATGCACCCACACCAATTTGGCACACCCCTCCAGTTTCGTGGCCCCCTAGGAGCTCCGCCGAAGGCCCCAGTGCTGCCGCGTCACCCACGCCCAATTCGGCACACCCCTCACACGTTTCGTGGCCCCATACGAGCTCCGCCGAAGGCCCCAGTGCTGCCGCCCGCATGCGTCACCCACACTCAATTCGGCACACCCCTCACACGCTTCGTGGCCCCATAGGGAGCTCCGCCGAAGGCCCCAGTGCTGCAGCCCGCAAGCGTCACGCACACCCAATTCGGCACACCCCACACACGTTTCGTGGCCCCATAGGAGCTCCGCCGAAGGCCCCTGTGCTGCCGCCCGCATGCGTCACCCACGCCCAATTCGGCACACCCCTCACACGTTGCGTGGCCCCATAGGGAGCTCCGCCGAAGGCCCCAGTGCTGCCGCACGCATGAGCCACGCACACCCAATTCGGCACACCCCTCATACGTTCCGTGGCCCCATAGGGAGCTCCGCCGAAGGCCCCAGTGCTGCCGCCCGCATGCGTCACGCGCAAAAAAACAAACCCAATTCGCACAGCGCCCCTCACACTTTTCGTGGCCCCACAGGGAGCTCCGCCGAAGGCACCAGTGCTGCCGCCCGCATGCGTCCACCGCGCTCATTTCGGCACACCCATCATACGTTTCGTGGCCCCATAGGGTGCTCCACCGAAGGCCCCATTGCTGCCGCCCGCAAGCGTACCCCACACCAATGTCGGTACACACCTCACACGTTTCGTGGCCCTATAGGGAGCTCCACCGAGGAGCCAGTGCTTGGCGCCCGCATGAGGTTTGCCGCAATACTCATTTTCGGTCATACCCCTTACACGTTTTTCGTGACCTCGCGTGAAACTCAAACCGAAAGCCGCCAGTGCTGCCGCCCGCATGCGTCCCGCACATACGCAATTCGGCACACATCCTCACAACGTTTCGTGGCCCCATAGGGAGCTCCGCCGAAGGCCCCAGTGCTGCCGCCCGCATGCGTCACGCACGCCCAATTCGGCACACCCCTCACACGTTTCGTGGCCCCATAGGGAGCTCCGCCGAAGGCCCTAGTGCTGCCGCCCGCATGCGTCCCGCACACCCAATTCGGCACACCCCTCATACGTTTCGTGGCCCCATAAGGAGCTCCACCGAAGGCCCCAGAGTGCTGCCGCCCGCATGCGTCCCGCACACACTTCGGCACACCCCTCACGCGCTTCGTGGCCCCATAGGGAATGCGTCCCGCACACCAATTTCGGCATACCCTTCACACGCTTCGTGGCCCCATAGGGAGCTCCACCGAAGGCCCCAGTGGGTGTGCCCGCATGCGTCACGCACATCCATTTCGGCATACCCCTCACGCGTTTCGTGACCCCTCACACGTTTTGTGGTCCCATAGGGAGCTCCACCGAAGGCCCCAATGGGTGTGCCCGCTTGCGTCCCGCACACCCATTTTGGCACACCCCTCGCACGTTTCGTGGCCCCGTAGAGGGGCTCCACCGAAAGTCCCAGTGCTGCCGCCCGCATGCGTCCCGCACACCCATTTCGGCATACCCTTCACACGTTTCGTGGCCCCAAAGGGAGCTCCGCCGAAGGCCCCAGTGGGTGTGCCCGCATGCGTCCCGCACACTCATTTCGGCACACCCCTCACGCGTTTCGTGACCCCTCGCAAGTTTTGTGGTCCCATAGGGAGCTCCACCGAAGGCCCCAGTGGGTGTGCCCGCATGCGTCCCGCACACCCATTTCGGCACACCCCTCGTACGTTTCGTGGCCCCATAGGGGGCTCCACCGAAGAAGATATTCACAACTGCGGTACTCACAATTGCATCTGGTTAGGTCCTTCGCCTTGTTGTACCTTCAGGGCGGGGTTGGTGTCTCGGCGCCCTGCCAGACACATGCAGTGTCGTCGGCTTCGGGCTCGTGAGGCCCGAGGGCATCACCCCCAAGCCAGCGAGAGCCCACAATTGCTTCCTCCTATATACAGTGTATGATCGGTTGCACGGTGCGTGACGACCGACATCTCGAGACTCGAAGATGGTTTCGATCGTTGGAGGTTGAGTGTGAGCTGAGTTGTCAAGCTTGGCATCCGAGGTCCGAACCAGACCACACGCAAGGCCGAGTCTTCTCCTTCCTCTTCATCGTCTTCTTGTTGTTCTTCCTCCTCCTTCTCCTCCACGGGCTTGAAACATTATCCCTTGCAAGCCTGTCCATCCCGAAAGATTTGTCGACGGCGCTTGAGATCTCCCGACTGCCGAAACACTCCAGAAAGTCAGAGTCCCGCCAGACCTGATTCTGCCTCCTCCTCCTCCTCCTATTCCTCCTCCTTTCCCTCCACTCCCTTCCAGACGCACGTCGTCGCACCCACGCTGAGACGCGCTGCGACAGCCGAACTTCTGTTGGGCGGGGGTTGCCTCCCCTACGCCCCTGCCGCCGCGGCCAGGACGTGGACGCACTTCCGGGCATCCACACACTGCTCCGGGCGCTCTCCCCGCCACCCCCTCCTGCGCCGCCCACGAGCAGAGATGGCGATTGCGCAGCCACGCTTCCCTGCAGTCTGGAGCTGCGCCCTCTGTGGCCTCCTGCTGGCATCGTCCGCCGCGGCGGCGCGGGCGGAGGCGGGGGGCACGGCAGGTTCGGCAGGGTGAACTCCGCGCTGGCGCCTCCCCCCAGCGTGGGGGCGGGGAGGGACGAAGTCGGCGGCGCCCGCAAGGGGGTGGCGCGAGGGGGGTGGGCTTCTGAACAGGGGGACAAAAGGGGTGGGGGCACGCAGGCTCGGCAAGGTGAACTTCGCACCGGCGCCTCCCCCAATCGGAGGCCTCCCAGATGGGTCGGAGGAGATGGGATGGGAGGATCGCGCCGCATCGTCGAAGCAATGGCGACGTCGGCGATACATCGGTGACATCGGCGGGGAGAAATTCGGGCTCCGCATCGAGTTGCACCGATGCATCGGCGATGCGGCGCGATCCTCCGACCGCCATCTACTGGAACTCCACTTAGGATGCCTGCTTAGACCAGCGCGGGGAGGCAAGGGACAAAATTGGCGGCGCCCACGCGGGGGTGTCGCGAGAGGAGTGGGCTTCTAAGGAGGCGGCGGGGCTTCCCAGACGGCACGGGGGCTCCTCAGAAGCCCGCCCAACTTCTGAGAAGCCGTCGTAGAACCCAGAAGCCTCTGGGGCCTTCTAAGAAGGCCCCTGCCTTCCAAGAGGCCCCTCCGCCGCCTCCGCCTTCTCAGGCAGCCGCCCCCCCCTCGGCCCCCTCGGATGGGCGCCGCCGACACAGGCGAGGTGAGCCCCAGGTAGGTCCAGTGTGAGGATGCGCCGCTCCAGGGCGCCCCAGACTCCAGAACGCTCTCGGAGCGCTCTGGAGCGCACTGGAACAGCCGCGGCGCCCGATACATCCTCCGGACCCGCCAGCATCATCCGAGCTGGTCCTCGTCCTGCCTTCGTCGTGTGCGCGGCCCGCGCGCCTGCCCTGGTCTTAAGTCGGGCGCATCCCCCTACAGGGGGATTTTCGAGGAACAATAAAAACATGTGCAACAATGCTCCAACATGGCAACAAACATGTTTTAAAAAATAATCCCCAGACTCTTTTTGGATTATTTTTGGATGTTCCCCCTGTAGAGGGACAGGCCCGACTTAACCCTGGTCCGGAGCGGCTCCCCCGGGGCAGGCTGGAGGTCCAGAGTCGGATCGGCCAGACGCCGAGCGAGCTGCAGTGACCGTCGAGTCGCGACGGCGACGGTTATGATGGTCCAACCTACTCTAGCCTTGATCACCGGAAAGAATTTCGAGCACCAAAAAAGTACCGGAATTCGATGGTTTTCACGTGCTGGGCCCTGGGAGACACTCGTCCGACACTATTTCGACACTGTTTCGACACTTTTGCGGGTGCTCGAAATCATTTCTGGGATGTGGTCCTTAAGTACGATGGGAGCAACATACGGCGACGGCTCTTTTTTCCTTGCGCCTGAGCGTCCGAAGTCAGCCTGGCACTCTGGATGGCCTGGACTGTGGGATTTTATATCTTTTTAGTGCTTCAGGCCCGCTCCAGAGGCCCTGGATCCAAACCTATGGGTATCTCTTTTGGGCGCATCATTGGCTCCCGTCGGCCACCGACTAGTTTCTGCCGACGCCCGCTAGCAGAACCGCCCTCGTTTTGCTTCCGCTGGCCTCTGTTGGCCAGCTGCCACCTTCTACCGAAGAAGGAAAATCAACTTCTCGATTCCTGGAAAACGATGCCCATTCTGAAACGCCCTCAATGTATCCGTTCGTATGTCATCGTCATCTGTCCGTTGTTTTTTTTCCGCGCGCGCCGTTTCCACAACTGCTCCATGGTCAGGCTTACGCTCAATTTGGGGCCTGTGGCCCACATGCTAAGACACGCCAAACGCACACGTCATAGAGGGAGAAGACGTTCCACGATAGGCTTGAGCTTGCGTGGTGAAGAAGCGGCAAAGGAGGAGGCGGGATGATGATGATGATGATGATGAGGAGGAGGAGGAGGAGGATGAGAAGAAGAGGAAGAGAAGGAGAAGGAGGCGGAGGATGAGGAGGAGGAGGTGGAGGAGGAGGTGGAGGAGGAGGAGGATGAGGATGAGGAGGAGCACGAGCAGGAGGAGGAGCAGGAGCAGGAGGAGGAGGAGGAGGAGGAGGAGGAGGAGGAGGAGGAGCAGGAGCAGGAGCAGGAGCAGGAGCAGGAGGAGGAGGAGGAGGAAGTGTGTCCACCAATGGGGAGAGCGGAGGCAACGCTCACTGAGTGCCGCAATGCCGACGGGCGTGGCCCTCGACAAAAAAAATGTAGAGCCGGCTCTGGTAAATGGACCCGAGGGGTCGTGCGCCTGCCGGTATTCGAAAACATGCACTCGCCACGGCAACGGCGACGGCCTGCAAGATGCGGCAGACTGCCCGCGCGCGCCGGGCCATTCCGAGTGGCAGATCCCCCCTTCCCCCTCGGCATCATGTAACGGGGCACTGGTGGAAAGGGGTCATGGACACCTCGGGCCTTCCCCAAGACCAGCTCTTCAGCCCGAGTTGTCTTCTTGACGGCGCTGTGTCCCAGGGAGAGCCCTGGGAGGCCCAAGACGGCGAAACAACCTCCAGGGCCACCCCCCCCTCCAGGAGCCCTCCATTTTCACGCAGGAGTGACCTTCGGTGCGCGGCTTCTGGGGGGCCGCGGGTGGCCAAATCCAAGCAAGCAAGGGGCAGGACAATGCTGGGGGGAGCTAAGTGGGTTCGCATTCAAGGTCGCTCTGGCGAAGGGTCACCCCACGCTTCCTCGTCGCCTGGTTTTCGGGTCATCTCGGGTTCCCGGAGGCCTTTCGGGACGATTCGGGTACTCCCAGAACGTCCCACGAGGTACGCGATCAACATGTGCAGCAGGAACATGTACGTTTGATACCGGCCAACGATCTCACAGCCCCTCGGCCACCAGCTTCGTGCGGGCCGTGCCTGTGGGGGTCTCCATGGGCCTTCAGGGTCGCAAGGCTCGCGATTGCAAGGGGCCTCGCATTCCCATGACGATTAATACGTAACCGGGGGTCGTGTTGCGTCGGCGGCGCCCTGGAAGATGATTAGAAAAAGCAAGCCGCGGTCTGGGAAGCTATTTTTTAATCGTTCCCCCCCTGCCGTCGTTGCAAAATTTGCATTCGACGTGGATGGTGTATTTGACGTAACCTTTGAATCCGACGTCAAATGAGCATGGGACATAATGTCTGAAGCCGACGTGGAACGAGTATTTGACGTAAAAGTTTGAAGCCGACGTAGAATTGGCATTTGACATAAAATTTGATATTGACGTCGAATGATTACTTAACGTAAACTTTGACGACGACGTGAAATGAGTATTCGATGCAATATTCGAAGCCGAAATGTAATAGACACAATCTTTAATCGTCCTCCTTCCGTTGAAAAAAACATGTAGATCAAGCGTTGATTTTTTTCATCGTTCCTCCCATTAAGAAACAAAGTAATCGTCATCCTGCATTCTTCTTACCAGTCCACCCATGCCATCTGGCCCTCTATGGGCTATCTCCGGCGTGTCTGGCCAGCAAGGTGTGCCTCTCTCCTTGTCGTCGTCTCCGTCGTCGTCTCTCCTGCTCTCCTCTGCTTGGAATACTTGCTGGCCAGAGGGGCACATACAGCCATGTCTTTTGGAGCATGCCCTCTTCCACTACTTTATCTTGACTTATGTTCTCATTGCAAACGTTGTTGAGGCCTCTTTTTCATTTCCGTCTTTTCTGGGAGCAGGCCCTGCTGCCTTCACAATGTCGACTGCTGTCCGCTGTGGAGCTCAACTGTTGTTCGCCTTTGCAGTAACACCACGTGTTTCACCAATTGGAACTTCATAGATTGGCACGTGGATTGCCAACGCCTGTATCCCTCATTACTAGACGAGCGCGTTCCACTACTCGCAGAATAACTACTCGCAAATGGCCTCGATCC